CCCCCCCCCCTAGATAGTGTAGATCCAGTGCTATTTTATCACCTTGCCACATATAATTTGAGCCATGTTTCTCCCATGCACAAAATCATGAAGTTGTAACTCGCGTAAATGTGTTTTACTACAACTCGATCGCATTCATATGTTATTCCAGGAATAGATTATGAAATGAGTTCGTTTTAGCCTTAATGAATACTTAAATACTTTAAAAAGTAATTAAGCGTAATTTAGGCACGTATACAAGGCAAATATGCTTCGTAAATACTCCGAGCTTTATTACTATTCGTTAATAAAGGAAAAAACACTTCAAAATCTATCATCTAGGTATAACAAGATTGGAGTGTTTGAAATGTGGATATCAATATTCCTATCCCGGAACATATACTTAGAGACTGTTCAATATGTTCATGATGGTATCCCTCCGAGAGTGTAATCAAGGATGCACAAAAATATTTTAAGGCCTGATATTGAGATACTTGTTGCAGTCGTGTTCATTTATTTGTGCTAATAGTGTTTTTTCTTTCTTTCTTTCTTTTTTTTTTTTTTAAAGAATGTAAGCTTGACAGTGGAAGAGAAATTATTACTAGGGTTACAATCTTGTAAAAAGTAGCATTATTTTGAACTGAGTACTTTACTTGGGGTATTTAACTAGGTTTTTTAGCCTTCTCCACCTGGACTTAAATGAGGTTAAACTTTACCCGGACGCGCGGCAAGGTCCGACCTTTCATTCATGGTGCCTATTTGGTTCAATATCAAATGCCTCGTATAAATTACCTCTTTAAGGTATGATGCGTAAAATTCACGGACCGGAATCTCAAAAATTCAATTCTTAAAACTCTGAGCTACCCAAGAAGATCGGTTTGCGTCTCGTAAACCAAATTTGTCAGTTGCGTCCGCACTGTTGCCGATATTGCCGGAATAGTTCGGTGAATTCTTAAAAAATGAAAAAAACTATTTTTGCATAATATGTGCATACCGTGAATTGAGACCCCATGAGATCCCACCGAGACCCTCGGAAAGGGAAGAGGTATTAGCATTTTGATGGTGAATAAGGAAAAGTCAAATGAACTTTTACTTCCATTTGCACAACATTTTAAGGCGTTCAGCAAGAATAATAAGTGCTGCGGCAAGACTCATTCACAATGAGATAAATTCGCAAATGCCACTTTCATTTTATACAGAAATCCGATAATTTTTTTAAAAAAACTTCAATAGAATGTGATTTCCTTCTTTCCATAGGTACATTTCATTTTTATAACTTTGAATGCATGGCATTCATGATAGACATCTTAGTCACACAATATAATGTAATAGGTAACCATCGCTCGTACAACTACAGTGGTTTAAATGAGGAGCTCGGAGTACAAATCGCATAACTGCAGTTTTTGCTATTTCAAGAAATAAACATGTTTAAAAGTTCAAAATTACATGGATCGCATGGCGGAGAGAAAGTTCAAACTCACTTTTTGGTGCTCGAAAATTGGATTTTCCTTCTTTCCATAGGTGCCTACACTACATTCTTATAACTTTGCATGCATGACATTCATGATATACGTTTTAGTAAAGCAATATAATATAGTAGGTAATCATCGCTCGTACAAATAAAGTTGTTTAAGTGAATGTATTTACAGAATATATTCCAAAGATAGCTTTCGTTGAACTCATTTATATCTCATGTTTTTCAAAAACTTCAGTAATGCGTCTTTTTCTCCGAGCCCTTCAAACATCATGTGAAAAAAGGGAAACCCACCAATATCTCAGCTAAAAGCATCGTATGTTTATCAAATTGAAATAGGTATACTCTTTTGAATCCAAATGATATTTTGAATTTATGTAATTTGATTAAAACTGTTGTCACGTTGGCGTACACGGTTCTGCCAAAAAAAAATATGGCACCCGTTTCAAAAGAGAACAAATTGAAGCCGAAAAAACGAGCTGGCGAGAAAAATGACACTATTAAGAATGAAGATAAAAAGAAAACGGAAATGACAGATTAGCAAGGCGAAAACGTTTTGTCGGGTTAATTGCTCTCTTCTCCGCTCGGATTCCGCGTGAGTGCGGAAAACTGAGAGGAACCAGGCTGAGAGGGGAGGGGGGGGGGCGCAGATCAATTTTCGAGGAAACAAATGGTCGAGATTCGATTTGACGTTTTTCCTGCTTTAACCTCGTGACCCTCTTGACCCTCGCCAGTCAAATTGAGCGATCCCTGTTTCCGGAAATTGCGGAGTAAAACCCCGCAAAACCAGAGTGATCTCGAAATCTGAATAACATCACGGAAAAATGCCGAATTTCTAAAAGTTGATACTGTAACTTTTAACGGGGGAGAAGGACGATCCACGGAAGCATAATTTTCAGTAAAACCTAGAATCTTTGCAAGATTGCTTTCTCTCCACTTAAACCTGTAGGAATAAATCGATTCTCGAAGGAGCCAGGTGCTCGACAAGAATCGAGTTTTACCCATGGGTTTAAATGGGTGAAAACCACCATTGCCGACCTTATCCTGCGATTCTGATATAGATGGCGTAAAGTTACACTATAATCTGGCAATTTTGTGCACTGCCATCGCGACAGTTAAAATGGAAACAGAAAAGCAGAAATGTTGCGATGTAGGTTGGTAATATTTACGAGGAAGCCGCTCAAGTATATCCCTGAAAACGTATCATCTGGAAAAGAACACAATTACAAGCGTCGATAGAGGCAAGAGTTACTTTTACGAGTACGAGTTGAGTTCAGAGGCGCAATACCCTTGCCGCCGTACAGTAGAGCGAGTCATGGGAGGGACTGGATACGATGAGGAAACTTTAAAAGCTTATATATCTTCGTTAAAATACAAAACTTAGCGGCTTAAGAGTGGTTAAATTCGATATTATTTTAACGAAACACCCCTTAAAATTAACGAAATAAATCTAAAAATGTTGAGGTTCAGTGAAAAAAACTTTTCGTCCGAACTCTTCCACTGTGCGTTGCCGAGGCAAAGGCGCGTAATTCAATCGTGCTACGGTCGTGGCACTCGGCTGAGTCGTAAGCAGGGTGTTTTCCGGAGCAGGACGCCAGGAACGCTCGCAGGTCGACTGCACTCATAGGGCGGGCCTTCGCTATCGCTGGGGATTTACGACTTTTAAAGCCTCGAGCCTCCCAGGGGCAGGGGTAGCCGGAGTCAACAATTTTTAATTTAAGTCTTCCGTATCAGAGTTTTAAATCCATACACTATAAGCTTCATCAACTCCTCATATTTTTAAGGGAACAAAAATAGAAAATTTCCAAGTATTCACTTAATTAAATTTTGTCAGACAGGTTGAGAACTGAAGACTCAGGACATTTTTTCCGATCAAAAATTCTCGCAGAAGACGTGCATCATACTGAACATAAATTGACCAAATTAATAATTAGCGTAGCTTCGAATCAGTGACTTTAAACTTCCCGTTCTGGAAAAACCCCAAAATCTACATATTTAGCTCAACTCGGCCATTGAAAACAATCATTACGTTTGACAAATAGTTCAAGTTAAGTATCTTCAAATACCTACAAAACTAATTTAGAACTTTGTGAATATTATTTCATCACATATCACACTGAGAATACTTCATCCCGCAATTGACTGAAAGGAACTTTACCTCTAAGCTTAGCTGGCATTTTGAACTGTTCAGCACACATTCATAACGCTAGTTAAACTATTCATGCCA